CTGACACTCCCCAGAGACCAAGGCTGTTCTTAGTTCCTGGCTTTAGTAACTTCACTGTTTCAACTAATGTGCTCACGTTTCCTTTTCCTGGTTCTTGGCGCTCAGCTCTAACACAAGCTGTGGGGTTTGTCTCAAAGCAATTAACCTCTCTAAGCTTCCATTTACTCTTCAAACTTAATGCAATAATGATATGTACTTACGTCAGACTCTATAAGCATCAAAAAAAGGTAGGGAGGGAGGGGTGAGGCCATGGGGGCAGGAAAGAAGGTGAAATGAGATGTAGCCTAGGTACATATGACTGTATATATGGTGTGACGCTATATCGTGTACAACCAGAGAAATGAAAAGTTGTGATGCAATTGTGTACAATGAATCAAAATGCATTCTGCTATCATATATACCTAATTAGAATAAAAATATTTTTAAAAGGTAAACATATTTGTGAACACCATGAAAATTGGAATCTCCAGGCATATTCCTTACGAATTACTACAAAATCGAATCCTTTTTGGGTAACATGTTGGATAGAAATTTTTCCGGACATAGGAACTTACATGCTATGACTTCTATCTCATTTAACAACCCCAAGAAATTTTCCCAAATATCACAAAACTAGTCTTAGAAAGCCATATAAAAGCTTATCAGGGTTGCTTGTTGATATAAAGCACTGGAGACAACTACTGTAATACAATGTTAAGATTTTTTAAAATATTTTTTTAGCTGTCAACAGGCCTTTGTTTTGCTTATTTATATGTGGTGCTGAGAATCAAACCCAGTGCCTCACAAATGCCAGGCAAGCACTTTCCCACTGAGCTACAACCCCAGCCCAGATGTTAAGATTTGACTCAGTATCGAGCCTGGATGTCTAATGAACAACATCATTAGAACAGAAAACCATAACCCTTTCCTTCTACACCAAAACCAATGTGTCCTGTAGGAAGATCCATTGTAAATGAAATGTGTCGGTCTTACCTAAGGCTCTAAATTATCAGCACCTGAGCAGATCCACTCCTGGGACCTATTCAGGATAAACCCTCAGGGACATGAGTGGGAAGAAGCAGAAGAGTACACAGGTAGGAATAAGCCCAGAAACACCCCAGCAGGGGAGCAGCTGACCTGCCTCCTGCCCACCTGGTTTCTACATGTGCACTGATGACTTCATTTGACTTAGTGTTGCCACAGAAAACATTTTTAAGGTAGAAACTGATGCAGAGAAGAATACCCACACACTGAAAATCAGAGAGAATTTCACTCACCCCCATAGACGTCCTGGTTGTGTGAGGCTGCTGGGTGGAGGGGAGGGACCCTCAGCTACCTGCAATAGCCGGAGTCCACGTTCCTGAAGGCCTCCTGTTTCTCAGGCTCTGTCCATGTTGTCTCTCCACAGAACAGCTCCCCCATGATGTCCCTTTTGTGGTCACCTCCTCCTAACCCCTGGAAACCACAGTCTGTTCTCCATCTTTACAGCTTGGCCCACCCAGGAATATTCTCCAAGTGAATTACACTGTACATGACCTTCCATCAGGATTTGAGATCCTCTGATCTCCATTTACTGGGTTTGCCTTTGAGATCCAAAGGCTGCTGCACACTCATCTGTTGATGGACTCCTGCGGTGGTTCTAGTTTCCAATTATTAAAAATAAAACTGCTATGAATATTCACGTACTTTTTCATGGGAAGGTGTGTGTGTGTGTGTGTGTGTGTGTGTGTGTGTTGATTTTTTTTTCTGTTTTGAGGGGCTTTTTGTTTGTTTGTTTATTTGGCACTGGGAATTAAACCTGGGGGCACTTAACCACTGAGCCACATCCCCAACCCTTTTTATTTTTTATTTTGAGACAGGCTAAGTTGCTGAGGCTGGATTTGAACTTGCAACCCTCCTGCCTCAGTTTCCTGAGCCACTGGGATTACAGGCATGTGCCACCACACCCAGCTGGGAAGATAAATTTTTGCACCTCTGGGATGAATGACCAGGAGCATGAGCATCAGGGCATGTTGCAAGTTCATCTTTAAGTCTATAAGAAGCTGTCAATATGTTTTTTAGAACACTGTACCATTCTGCATTTCCACAACCATTTTTCCCCCTTTCTAGTGGATGCAAGGTGGTCATTCATTGTGGCTTTATTTTTGGTCCTCTAAAGACTCACAATGTTGAATATTTTTCAAATGCTCATTTTCTACCTGAATATTCTCTCTGGTAAAGTGCTGCTCTCACCTTTACTGGGTTGTTCTTCCTGCTTAGTTTTGAGAGATTTTCGGGTGCTTATGTATGCTACATATAAACTTCCCATATATTTGCATACTTGAGATGCAAGTCCCGTGTCAGATAGGGGATGGGTAAGTATTTTCCCCCAAAAGTTTTAAGTTTTGACAAAGTTCCATTGATCAATATTTGCCTCTATGCGCTGTGTTTTAGATGTCATGTCTCCAGGCCACAAATGTTTTGTCCAACATTTTCTTTTAGAATATCCATAGTTTTACATTTCATAGTTGATACATTCTGATTTCATGTTTATACAAACTATGAAGTCTAGTTAAATTATAGTTACCATACTACAATACTATGTTATATTATGCTATATTAATATTATAATATCATTATTATAGTTATACATGAGTGCTTCATTCCTCCACCACTACTCAGTGAGGAGACAATGTTTCCTCTGCACTTTTGTCAAAAATCAAATGGTCCCAGGGCGTGGCAGTGCACACCTATAAGCCCAGAGACTGGGGAGGCTGAGGCAGGAGGATCACAAGTTCAAAGGAAAACTCAGCAACTTAGCAAGGTCTTAAGCAACTTATCATAACCTTCTCTATATAAAAAAACTAAAAGGGCTGGGGATATGGCTCAGTAGTTAAGCGCCCCTGGATTCAATCCCCCATACCTTAAAAAAAAAAATCAAGTGGCCATATAGGATGGGTCTATTTCTAGTTTATCATGTTCTACTGATCCTATGTCCATCTGTTTCCCAGTCGTTAACCCTGTCTTTTTGAGAGTGGCTTCACAGTAATTCTTAAAATCAGGGAGTGCAAGTCCTCGGATATTTTTCCTTTCCAACATGTTCTGTTCTGGTTTGACTCACCTTTCTCTACACATTTTAGAATTCACTTGTTTGTATTTACCAATGGTCCTTCATTGGAGTTGTGCTGAATCCATAGATCAATGTAGGGACAAAGCCATTGTCATCTATATCCATTTCAGGAGGTTATCACAAGGAAGTCTCTCCCTGTCTCCCCACCAATGGGGCAGGTACGGGGACTCAGCTGCAGGATGTAAACTGCCTGCCTGCGGCACAGAGTTGCTTAGGTGACAATAAAGTGTCCCATTACTCTCACTGCAGTCATGGGGACCCTTTGGTTTGAGTATCATCCTGTGCAAGGGACATGGGGAGCTGGCTCTGGGGCTCATCTTGCTTTCTCTATGAAGTAGTAGACTCTGACTCTACAGAGGGTGCGCTGGTTGTACTGGCCCCAGAATCTATCAGCCTGGACTCTGGCTTGGCAGAAAGATCTATGGAACTTTCCACACAGACACTTCAGTTAGAGATTAATTCTCCTGCTGATCGCCCTTATTATTTTCTTCTACAGTTAGTTTGTTCACCCAGGATTTCTTTCTCATGTGTCATGAACTTCTGGGTTGCCAGCTCAGAGTCATGAATGCGGCATCAGTTAATTATCTAAGATGGAAATGATCTGTTTTCCCAGAGCTGTTTTGTGTAATGAATGTGTGGCAGTCGCCCAAGGGTGTTCTTACAAGCAGCACTCCTGTTGGGGTGTAGGGGCCAGGGGAAGGCGTGGTGAGAGCCTGGCATCCTCACAGACACACCTGCAGAAGGAGGAGAGGGGGCGAGTCTTCATGTGTGGGCAGATCAATCAAGTACTGCATTTCAGGAGCCTCCCTAATGTTACAAAGCGCTTCTGTGACTCTAATGCTTCTGCCTGATCCCTCCTTCACCTCCCTTTCACTGTGACCCAGAGGAAGCCCCTGGAAAACAGGGTTGGGGAGAGGCACAATGTCATACTACTCCAGGTCACACACATAAGAGTGATGGTGACAATAAAATAACAGCAAGAAACATGGATGGGGCATTTCTAGGACAAGGAATTGGGCAAATAGAGGTGCTGTCCTTCCTTGTGCTCTGTGAATCCCAGAGCTCTATCCTGACTCTCTGTCCCTTTTTTGTTCTCCCTGGCCTCTGCTCTTCCTCTACTCTAGGCTGAAACTTCATAATCCCCCCCAATTTCCTGAAAAATCCTACACAGTTCAAATGGAGAGTGGATTGAATTGCAGGTGAAGAGAGCCTTGAAACTTCCAAGGTGAGGAGCATGGGATCCTAGAAACAGCCAGTGGTTGGTGGGTGGTTTGCACACAAAATGAGTTACCCTGGCAGCACTGAAGAAAAGTCACTTGTCAGAGTCACAATTTTGAAAGGGTAGCATGTGGCAATCAATCTGAAAACAGGTATATGGTTTCATATGTAGGTCCTTGTGCCCAGCCCTTCCCACAAGGCACTGCCTCTGTTGTAATTCAAGATGGGAGGGGCCCCACTTTGGACTCCTCCCTAGGCATTTCATTACTCCCTTTATAAGCCATAGCCCAAGGTCCCACATATTTTCTCTGCTGCTCAGCCTCCTCCTGTTCTGCAGCCGAAGCAGAACCATGCTGCTCAGAATCTATGGTAAGGAGACTCCACCCTAAGCTGAGCCTAAGTGTTCTCTCACCCCTTTGTTCCTCTGAACCTCAAACTCAGTTCTCTCCTCTATCTACTGCCCCTGTCATCTCTGACCGCACTGCAACCCTCTGTCCACCTGCAAATTTCAGAAGCTTTACCCTTCCCAGAGACCTCCCTGCATTCCCTCACCTGCCAGCCCAGACCCCAGGACCTAAAATCCACTCTGCCATTACCAGCAACCAAAGAAGCTCAGTGACATCACCCTGGGACCCTTGATCATGATCAGTTGGCTACACTCCCAGCATCACTTTCATTTCCCTTCTATTCTCAGTTTCTGTCTTCATTGTTCAACTCCTGAGGTCAGACGCGGAAGGAGTCACAGGTGAGGATAGTGCAGTGAGGAGATTTTCACTGGCTGGGGGCAGGGAGGGGGGGGGGGCCTGTCCTACCCTGGCCCTTGAAGCCCACCCAGCTCTGACTCTTCCAGACACTGGCCCATGGCTGTGCCAGCCAGCACTGAGGTGTGGGGACCAGCCCTACAACCCCTTGGAGCAGTGCTGTCACAATGACACCATCCTGCCCCTGAATGCGACCCAGCTGTGTGTCCCCAACTGCATCTTCTATCCCTGCTTCCAGCACTGCTGCCTGGAGTCCCTGGGCACTCAGAACCAGGCAGTTGTGACATTCAAGGTCCCAGGCATGAAGCCTGACTGCAGGTCCTCCCCCGTCTCCAGGATTTGTGCCCAGGTAAGTCTGTGATTCTAGCCCAGGCTGGGGGAGGGGCAGCAGGGGACAGAACTTGGTTGCAGTTTCTTTTGAGGCTCCATCTCCCATCTCTGGGTAACCATATGACTCTCCTTCAATTCCATCTGTCTGTAACCCCCTGTCCCCTCCCCCTGCCCCTCTGATGTCCCTCTTCACCTTTCTGCAGGAACACCACCCGACCAGCCCTCAGCCAGATCTGACTTCATCTGGACCATCCTGGGGAGTGGAATCTGGTATCTAGTCAACTGTATGCTGAGGTTTTTAATTATTGCTATGGTCTGAGTGAGTCCCCAAGCTCCTGGGGTGGAATCTTAATCCTGCAATGCTGGAGTGACTCTTAGAGATGGAGACGATTGGCAGTAAGTGGGAGGGTTGATATCAGGGGAATGGAGCCATCATGAATGTCTTAGCACCCTCTGGTAGGAGTGGGTTCTCATCACCAGATTCTTTATCTTGAGACTGGGTTGTTATAAAGCAAGGCTGTTCCTCATGCTCTTTCTATTATGAATGCACCCACTTGTCCTTCCACTTTTCACAGGGAGTTGAGGTAGCATGTGGCCCTCAGCAGATATTGCTGTGTGATCTTGAACTTTTCAGACTCCAGAACCATGAACCAGAATAAACTTTTTTCCTTATAAATTACCAAATCTCAGGCATTTTATTATAGCAATAGAAAACAGAACAAGACAACTATGTTACTTCTTATGCCCTTAAATTTCCTATAAGCTGAAAACAGAAAGCATGTGTTTTTTAGAATGGTATTGGCTTGTTCATAGATATTTTATTAAGCTGCAAAATTCTAGTAACAAAACTTAATTTATTGAAACTAAACTATTCTTTTATTTCCTTTTTGGGAGTCCCCACTGGTGGTGCCATATAAGCACTTAATCATGACTTTTAAGTAAGCAGATATTAGGTTAATAGAGAAAATTTTGATGGACAAAGGGGTTTAGTTAGTGAATTATCTACATCTTCAATTCAGGGTCCCCCAGAAAATCAATCCCAGATCTACCTTAAAAGGACAAATTACCTAGAGCCTTAACATTTGCTGGTCCTTGCAGCCTGTCTTGGTCCATTTTGTGCTGATATAACAAAATACCTGAGACTGGGTACATTATAAAGAAAAGAGCATTTTAGCTCACAGTTTTGGAGGCTGAAAGTCCAAGATCAGGCAGCCCATCTGCTCAGCCTTTGCTGAGGTCTTCTGGCTCACTGTGGTGGATGACATCACAGACGGAGCATGGGCAAGGGTAGTTAGTGGTGTGTGCAGAAGAGAGAGGTCACATGAGGAGAGAGGAAGCAAGAGAGCAAGACCAGAGAGCTGAACCTGGTTTATAACAACCCACTCCATGGGGAGCCAACCCAGTCCCATGATACCTAAGCTCTCCTCCAAGACAGGCATTGATTCCCTTCCCAGGATGGTTTTCCCCATAGCCTAATCACCTCCTTGTAAACTCCACCTCTTGAAGGTTCTGCCATCCTCAATCTTTTACCCTGGAGACCAAGCCTCCAGTACATGAATTTTGAGGGGACAAATCACACCCAAACCATAGCAGGGCCCACCTAACACCTGTCAAGTCAGTCACACACAATCCTCCAGGAAGCCTCAACTCATTTGGTACTTTGAGGGAGCAGCAAATGTCTCCCCTAACAATCCAATGGCATAGCATGCTGCAGTCTATTAGGGTTGAGGGTTCCAGAAGGCCAGGATGGGCAGAGTTCTAGCCCTCCTGACATCCATGCTGGGAAACAGGGGCTCATCCTGAGCACAACTTTCCAGGGTTCCAGGAAAAGTCCTTTCTTCCAAGATTAGGAGGTTTTATAGTCTAGGGACCATTTGGTCACAAAGTGTGGGGAAAGCAGGCAGAGTACAGGGCTTTCCATATAATTTTCAGGGCCCAATGCAAAAATGGGTGGGGGACCAGGGGGGATAGTTCCAAAGAATCAGGAAAAAGAGATACATATGATTCCCTTTATTTGAACATTATGCAATTGTTCATGTATTTAAATGTCACATAAAAATCTAGAAATGTACATCATTTTATGAATTGATTTAAAATTTTAAAGATACTAAAATGTTGAGGGTTTTTTTCCTTTAAATTTTTTTTGTTGTAGATGGACACAATACCTTTATTTTATTTGCTTATTTTTATGTGGTGCTGAGGATCAAACCCAGTGCGTCACACATGCTAGGCAAGTGCTCTACCACTGAGCCACAGCCACAGCCCCCTTTTAAATATTTTATTACTAATAAAACACAGTAGTGAAACTTATGCTTCAGTGGAGTAGTACACCATTTTTCTTGTTCTTCCCACTAGGTAAATCTAAAAGCCCCGAAAAATTATAAAACAAAGATAACACTATGAACAGTGGAGAGAAAAAGTTCAGACTGGAGTCCTCAGGTCCAAAGGACAATGTGTTGGTGAGTTCCCTGGACTTTCTTTTACTTTCTAAGACTTGGAATTGAAGAAGTCAACAACCCAGAAAGAGTAATGGAAGAACACCAACAAAGCAAGTTCAAAAGTCCTCCCTCTACTCAAAGGACCAGGACAAGGGAAGTCTAACAAGATATGCAATTTGGGGGCAATAATGGCTTTACTCCAACCAAACATCAGCAAAGTCCAGTAAAGAACCTTTCACACTCACCTGCCTATGAAGAGTAACTCCAACCCCCCCTTGTCTTCATCCATTTTTCTGTTACTATAGCATGATCCCTGAGGCTGATCATGTATAAAGAAAAGAGGTTTATGTAGCTTACAATTCTGGAGGTTTAAGGTCATGGCACCAGCATGGGCTTGCCTCTGGTGAAGCCCTTATTGGACAGCACAATGACAGGAGCCCATGTGACAGGAGAGATCACATCCTAAGACAGGAAACCAAAGCACAGCTGAGGTCCCTTGAAACTACATCAGCCCCTTCCAAAGGCACTCCCCAATGATCTAGAGACCTCCCACCAAGCCCCACCTCTTAAGGGTCCCAGACCTCTTAACAGCCTTACACCAAGGACCAAATTTTCAACCCATGAGCCCTTGGAAAGCAAACTGCATTCAAACCAGCACCCCTCATGCTTGCTGTCAGAGAAGAACAAGGGGTGGGGTGGGAATGGTATTCTTTCAGGCAGTGACAAGGCTTCCCTCCACCAATTTATCTGCTATAAAGATATTTTATTCATGTTACATCCTGGATTATAATTTTCTTTTAAAAATTCTAAAATTTTTAAAATTAATTTTTTATAAAAAATACAAAAATTTTTTTGGTACTGGGGAGTGAACCCAGAAGTGCTTAACTACTGAGCCATATCCCCACCCTTTTTTGTATTTTATTTAGAGACAGGATCTAAAAGGAAAACTTCCAGGATCTAAAAAGAAAACTTACTTAGGGGCTTTCTAAGTTGCTGAGGCTGGCTTTTAACTCATACTCCTCCTGCCTCAGCCTCCCAAGCTGCTGGGATTATAGGAGTGCACCACCATGCCTGGCTAAGAAGTTCTTGCTATCTTACATCTCTATAAGTTTATTGTGTCTTCAAAATGTATACTTTTAAAAGCTTAATTTTCAACTTACACAAAAATTTAAAATCAACAAAAAAATGTTTGCATTTAATTTTGGGAATTATCTTTTCAATTATGTAACTGGGGCTACTGAGAATATTTTATGACAACACTGTGGTAAATTTCTTTCTTTTGCTATATGTTTTCTCTTAATTGAAAGATTATTCAAAAAATTCAATATATGCACTAATTTTAAGGGTATAGTGTTTTAAAATATATGTGCATTTTACATCAGTAAAACCACCACTCACATCACGATACGGAGCATTTGTTTTACATGAATGTCATGTAGTTTCTCACATAAAGTTTCTTAACTGTTACATCCTATATTGTATGTTTAGTAAACATGAAATATTTTGTTGGAGTCAGGCACAGTGGTGCACACCTGTAGTCTCAGCTCCCTGGAGGCTGGAACAGGAGGATTGCTTAAGCCCAGGATTTCAAGAACAACCTGGGGAGCATTATGAAACTGTCCCCCAAATATATATTTTTTTATATTATTCAATTCTACCTAATAAAAAATGTTGCTTTTTAGTTCTGTGGACTGACTTATGATTTCCATTATCAAAAAAAACTTTTATCCTTCGTTTGATAAAAATGTGTATGTACAATTGAGTTTATTTTTTTGTTCCTGTTGTCTTGTTTGTTTTGTTTGGGGTACCCAGGATTGATCCCAGGGGTGCTTAACCACTAAACCATATCCCCAGCCCTTTTTATTTTGAGACAGGGTCTTGCTAAATTGTTGAGGCTGACCTCAAACTTGTGGATCTCTTGTTTCAGCCTCCTGAGTCACTGGGATTACAGGCATGTGATCATCATGCCAGGCTCAAATGGGATCTTTTAATAAGGATATTTAACCAGTTTCTGACTATGATAACACACTGTATCTCTGATGATCTATTTTGTGCTCATCTTAATGTTTCCTTGCTGTTTTTATTTTACTACATTGTTTTTGACATTTTACCTCTTATTCTCCAATCCAAAAAATTGTAATGGGTATACATTCTACTTTTGTTTGTACTTTACCTCAATGTTAAATTGACTTAGTGCCGCATTATCTGATGCGATAACAGTTTTTCCAATGTAGCACATAAAACAAGGATTTATCCGCCCCTTCACAATCAGTGATGTCAAAGTTTTCTTTTTAGATTATTATATTAACATCATGGACAAACATGCCAGTTTTTCTCCTCTATAAACAGAGGAAATAAAACGGTAACAGTTGTCTCGCAATTTTGTCAGATTAACATTGAGAATAGCTTTACTCTGCTTGTCCTGTTCAGACTGGCAAAGTCTTTTCATTTTATTTTTGTTTAGCTTAGGAGCAAACAATACTAGATGCTAAAATTATATATAACCAATATACATATCTATTGGTATTTTGATGTTTAATCTCAAATCTACTGTAAAATGTGAAGATTGTGCAAGACACCAAAAATGGTTTCATAATTTGTATGTAATTTTAAACACTATTTGCAAGCCAAGCACTGGGGTGCACATACCCATAGTCCCAGCTATTTGGAACGCTGAGGAAGGAGGATTGTTTGAGCCCAAGAATTCAGGTTAACCTGGGCAACATAGTGACGCTAGCTGTGGGAGACCAACCTTGTAAGTGACTGAGTCACACTCCCCAGCTGGGTGCTGAGGCGCTCAGTCACAGAAATGTGGCAGAGCTTTCCCGGCCCTTCTTGGG